CCCCCCCCCCCCCCCCCCGTTACAATGCCAGTAAAATAAGTTCTTACGGAACGTGAATTGAGAGAGAGCTTAATGTTTATCTCACGGTACAGCACTCAGTTTTTTGAAAAATACTTGTATGGCCCACATGAAAAGAAATCCTTTTGACCCCTACCCAGACAGCCCTGGGGTGCTCACTTAATGTCATCCTGGGATGCAGAAACGGCTACAGACCTGTACCGCGTGGCGTTCTCCGTTTCTATCTCCTCCAGATGAAATTCCGCCCAGGGGTCAGGCATGTGCTTGGCTTTCTCGATGGCGTGCTTCCAGGCTTCCTGCACAAGGCAAAACTTGAGAATGAGGGTGTCTCCAGGCAGACAACTCTCAGCAGTGGTGCCCTTGGCTGACCACCCTGGTGCCTGTCAAGCTCACAGCCTGCCCACCCGTTTTCAACTTGCCAAGATTTCAAACCATGGATTATTCTGAACCCAGCTGCATATTTATTCAGGTTCGGAAGAGCTGCTCTGGGTTTTGGCGCTCGGGTTCCACCTTTGCAAGTGCCCTTTCTGTCAGTCTACCTGGTAAGTCTTCTGGGAAATGGGTATTTTGCAACCAGCCATTCCCATCATGGTAGCCATTTTACGAACAGGTAAGTCCCAGCTCCATGGCAGCCATTTTGTGAGAGTGCCAGGTGTGTCCACCAGTCTCAAAAGTTTGGAGACGTCTATGCAGTTGTTCTGTCAGATTTTTTTGTAGGATGGAAAAAAGTCACAAAAAGCCATGGGAAAACACAGAAGGATTACAAATGGAAGCTGATGTCCTCTGGGCACCCCATAAAATTCCTTATTTGAGACAGGCAATGGCACACCAAACTCCTCACTGGGAAGCACCCCTTTTTATTCATAATTGCCATACACGAGCAATCAAAAATCATACATAGTCACACTGGAAGAGTTTTAGTCCAGTGCTGGATTAAGGATTTGTCTGCACAGATATATATATACACTCACACATGTATATTTACACAATTAGGGTAAGGTTGCTGGATCGGCAACTCATGCTGAGGGTACATTGTGCCGGTTTCTGTCACCCTCAGTCAGTGGGGAGAGAGATGCTTCTTGGGGGTTTGAATCTTTTCATGGAAAAGTGACACCGGAAGATTTAAAGGCCACAGTCCACCCTCCACTTCCACTGCAGTTTGCAGCCTCTTCTGCTGCATTAGTTCAAAACAAAATGACAAAAGACGCCTGAGTGAAAACAACCTAAGGGCCTACATATCCCACGTAGTTTGGTCCTGACTGGCCATCCTGCAATTTCTCTGACCCAAGATAGTGCAGAGAAAGAATGCTTAAGATGACAAAGAGATCTAATACAATGCCCACAAAACAAAGCTGTTTTCTTTCACAGTGTTTCTCCCCTGCTGCCACTGGCTTGGCTAGTCTTTCCCAAGGGAAGATAAGCTCTGATGAGCTATTTTATTTATGACTTTCAAAGGAACAGAGTCGAGCTGAAAAATGGTCTTAATAACCAAGCCGTCCTACAAATACATGGCATATATAAATATTAAGGGCACAATAGTGTGGACAAGGAGATGCCAGCGGTGGGAAAACAGGTCCTTGCTGTGACCCCAGAAAAGCCTCCTAAATTTACCGGGGGCTTTTGCCTTTGGAGCCCCCCCCTTCTGCTGCCACCTCAGCCAGCGCAGTTTTTTCTGCAACAAATGGGGAGGCATGGGGGGGGCAGGCTTGGGAGGGGCAAGGCACTGGCTTCTGCCAAATCCAAGTGGCTCTTCTTCTTGAAGAGGGGGAAAATATAACCCCTTGAAATTGGCTTTCTAAATGATTTTGAGGGTGAGGGTGGGCAGGCAAACTTCGCCTCCGTGCTTCACCCTGCTCAACTAGACACCCATGACTTTCCAAGTTTGCAAGGGTGCAGGCGGCTACATGGGATTAAACACTGAAAAGAAAAACCCTCTGGAAGCACTAGTTCTAAAAGCCAAGCTCACCGCAAGAAGCAAACCAGAAATTAGTAATAAACGGATGCAGCTGAATATTACAACTCCGGACAAAGAGCTGAGTCTAAGACACTGTTGCTGCAGGAGTGTCAGGGTGAAAGATGCAAATAATTTTCTCTGTCCGTTAAATGCATTTTTAAAATTTTATGTTATGGTCATCAAGGTAACAGCCATTTAGGTTCTACAACTTCATTCCTTCACGGAGGAAAAGCCAAGATGGCAATCCCACGCAGGTAGCGCCTTCGATGAAAATCTCAGGCAAAATGCATGTGTGAATCATGCCAGGGGAATAATGCACATGCAGGAACTCTCAAAGGGAAATCCCATTTGGGAGTTCTCCACATGAGGCATTTATTCTGTGCTCGCAATCTTCACTCAGGGAGGGTCCTTTCCATGACATTCTCAGTCCTCAGGATCCGTCCCACGTTTTGCAGCCACGTCTGCAGCTTTTTAAAAAGCGAGAACCATGAGGTATCACATGTTAAAAGCACAAATAAAGGCTCATGTATTTCTGGAACTGTGTAGAATTCTTGTATAAAAAGCCTTGTATAATTGTGCTTGTATAATGTGCCATAACAGAAGGCAAAAAAAGCAAAATCCCAGGGAAAAAGTGACAACAAGGTTCACTTTTTCCTGCAAGGAAATGACATCTCCACGAAGCACCAGGTTAGATGCGTCCAGTAGAGAAGCCATTGGATGTGGCTGCAAGCCATTTACCTAGGAGTAAACCCCACTTGAATTCAATGGGGCTTACTCCTGGGCAGACCAGTGCTGAAGTTCTCAGAACTGACATTCAGCTTTGTCGCCATTTTTCTGAATGAATGTAAAGAATTCTGACTGAATGTAACGATTAAAAAAAAAAAAAAAAATTCCCCGCCCAATAACATTGACAATATCTCGTAAGAAATGTACTTATCGCATTCGTTTTTGACCTACCCGGCTACGTTCAACCACTGTGCCTTGCTTAGCATGTTGCTGAGAGCCATTCTAAAGACATACATGAGAAACAATTTAAGCGGAAGACAAGCATACAACAAACCAACGATCATTTAAATCAAAGCACATGCTGAATTCACACTGCAGTAACTTTTCAGAAACCCCCGATTTCCACATTGCCTAATTAGTTTGCACACACTGCTCTGCAAAATAATATTTAAGCCACTCTGGTGTGGTGGTTCGATAGCTGGATTGGGAACCAGAGGGATTCAGGTTCTAGTCCCTGCACAACCATGAAGCTCACTGGGTTTCTTTCTTTCTTTCTTACTTACTTACTTACTTACTTACTTACTTACTTACTTATTTGGAGTTTTTATATGCCGTCCCATCGCTTAACACCTAGGGACGGCTTACATAAACAAACACATAGCGGCCAATACAAATACAAACACAAATTAAAAACCCCAATTCATTCTGGCTGGAAGTTAAAACCTATAGATAATATTAAACATTGTTAAAATATTTTTTAAATAAAAAGGTCTCAGCCTGGCGCTGAAAAACAAATAACGACAGCACCAGGCGGACCTCCCTGGGGAACACATTCCATAGCTTGGGTGCCACCGCAGAGAAGGCCCTCCTCCGGGTATTCTGCCTCCTGATGTCTTTTACAGAGGGCTTCCGGAGGAGGGCCTCTGCAGCCGATCTCAGGGGGCGGGAGGGCAAATATGGGCCAGCCACTCATTCTCAGACTAACCTACCTCACAGGGGTGTTGTTGAGGATAAAAATAGGGTGGAGAACTATGTTAGCCACCTTGGGGTGCTTGCAAAATGAAAAAAGGTGGGTAGAACTTGCAATGTATACATCACCACCACCATCAACTGAGATGGGAATGGTTAGAAATATTGGCTCCTCTTTTCATGATGCAGGTGTACTAGAAACGGGGGGGGGGGGGGGGAAAGGGGGGGGAGTATAATTTTGATCCAGTGTGATGCATCAGTTGTTCAGGATCTACCAAATACCTCTCAGTTTTCATGAGTTTTCAGTTTTCAATGATAATCAGTCATACTGGGACAAAATCATCCAAACCCAGGGCTTTTAATTATAAGGAAGAATATCACAAGAATTATACTTAAGTCCGGAGACTGAGTAGTAATTATCATTATAATAGTGATTAACTTCTGGAAGCCCCTGGACCAGGTTCTGCTCTGCACCTTGGCCCAACCCAGGGCCAACTTAGAAGCAGTGGGAGTGTAACTTAAAACAGTACTAGCAAGGTCTTCACATTAAGAAATGCTGGAATGGTGCTGATGGCCGAGTGTTCCTACGGATCAGGTCTTTAAGAAATTTTGGGGCAAATTAGACTTCCTGGGGAGGCAAGAGAGGAACAGAACAGCACCACAGAGAGCCTCAAGCGGTGTGGGAAACTCAACAGGCTTGCCCACCTCCTGCTCCAACCTCTAGCTGACTCAAATTGAGCCTTAAATAGGACTCCTTCTTCCAAAAGGCTGCTGGCGTCTTCCGCACACCGCAAGAAGCCTTCTCCCTCAAAGGGGCCGGGCTTGCTTTGGAAGCCTTTGGCTGCAATGGCCTGAAGGTATGTATTGCGGGCTTCATAATCAGAGTTCTCAGCATCTGGGGAGGCCACCTCTGGTGGAAGAAAGGGCCCCTGTGGAGAAAGACAGCTATGGATGGGTCCTCCTAAGGTGAGAACCTCTTCTCCAGTTCTTCTGCCTAGAGCAGCTTCTTGTCCTGAAGAAGAATCAGAACCATGGACCATAGCAATCTCCCGGGACACACCTCTGCTCCCCGCTTCACAAGGTTTCCCACCGCACATGCTGGGCACTAAGCAACATGCAAATAAGTGCCCCAAATGAAGGGGGGGGGGAGACCGTCGTCTGAGTGCAGCTGCTGGTCTGGGGAAAGGCCACGAAGTTGTAATGTTCACGGCAAAGTTTAGTTGCAAGAAACAAAAGCAAGGGAGCAAGCGCCAAGCTAAGAAAGAGAAGACCGGTTCGAGGGAGGCCATTGCTTACCCTGAAATTGAAGGAATGCCGGGGAGACGAGCTGGATGAATATTGCTCATTTCTTGCCAAGTTGCTGTAATAGGTGCTGGCTTTGTCATGAGCCTCCTTGCTCAAGATCGGGTCATCTGTGATCGGGCAGATATAGTAGTTATCCTCCCCTTCACTATCAGTGTCATGGCAGTTCCCAGAGGCCACTTTGGGTAATTTGACATTGTCGAGGCATTCGATGTGGAAGATCAGGTCTTCGTCCGCCATATTGGTGGGGGAGTGGTCTCACTCGTGCGATGATTGGAGTAGCCAGTATTACGACTGGGAGAACCTAGCGAAGAGAATTGGGAGAAAATCAGTGTCTGGCTCATCAGAGGGTGGAAGGACATGTGGAAAAGAATAGGCAGTTGTTTCTGGGCAGAGGTTTACAACTTCAGGCCCCGGGACCAAATCTGGCCTTCCTGGGGGCCAGTTCTGGCCATTCAAGTTTCCCCAGACCTGTCTGAAGAGTTCCTGGGTTTTGTAGGTTTTCCCCCAACACTGGAGGAACATTCCTGTTGATATTTAGGCAGAGAAAAGGCAATACCCAGCATGCCTCAGGCTGAATGCAGAAAGTCTACAAGCTGCAAAAGCTCTATATAAGGATGTACTGTCTACACCTGGGAGAAACACCTGATGCACCTGTCTATTTACCTACCTACCTACCTACCTATCTATCTAAAACTTTTCTAGACTGTTCCATTACCGAAGTCTCGGGACGGTTTAACAATACAAACTGTAAAAATTTAAAACACAGTGTCCTAAAAATTCAACTAATAATAAAAGCCCCAATTAAAACAATCAGTCTGTCTACACTTACACTGTATGTGTACGAGGTTGCATTCCATGTCCCAGGCACAAAGTGCCTTAAAGAGCCTTCTCTTTCAACTTTGGGACTTCACAAATTCAACCAACCACACTCACAGAACAGTTTCACAAAGATACATTTCAAAGGCTGTTCCAAAATCATGGGGTTCATTTCCTCTGAAGACTCAGGATCGCTGGCTTAGCCTCGCTTTTGGGGATGGCACAGTAAGTCCCCCGCTTTAGCATTAGTTCTCGAAGCTATTCCCCTGGTAGCCACCCCTGCTTGGAGAGGTGAATGACCTCCAAGAATGATTTTAGCCACTGGACCTGCCTGTGAGAAGGCAGGTCCTGCAATCCTGTAATATGTCCAAAAGGAACTTCCTGCAATATGTCCAAAAGGAACTTCCTACAATATGTCCAAAAGGAAAACTGTGTTACAAACTTCAAACATGGAACCATTTACTAGCTAACTGATTACAGAAGACACAGCTCCTTCATTAGCATACATCCTAAAATGCTGAAAGCATTTGTGTTTCATTACATTATTTTACTTTTATTTTAACTGTACACAACTACTGTGCTACTGCAATGAAGATTTCAAAAATAGCGGTTCTCTCTCTCTTCCAAAATTGACATATTTTTGAGCTATATAAGCCCGAGGTAGGAAAATCTTCTGGGCCTGGAGGCTGGATTTGCCTCCTAATCATGAAGCTCCCCAACACCTCCAGTGGTTACATGATATCAGGGGGCAGGCCTTTCACCCCAAAGCCCCTCTGCTGATATCACAGGGTCCCCCTTCTTCATGCAGGGAAAGGCAAGTCACAATCACTCCACACCACTCCCTCTTTGCACACAGAAAGTGATTCCTCTACGTTAGAGGGAGGCTGCTTTCTTGGTGCCAGAGGGAGAAGCCTGGCTTTTCACTGCAATCAGTGAGCAGAGCAGGGCTTGTCCCTCAGTGCTACAGAAACACTGTCTAGGAGGGAATCCTGTAGACCAGACGCAGGCAGAAGTAAACAAAGGACACCATCATTTCAGGACTAGGTTTTTAACACTGCCCTTATTTTATGACACGTATTTTCCCAAGATTCACCTTTATATAGAAATCTATTACCCACGCCATGCTTGAATATTTTTAAAAAAATCTCATCACACCTTTTTTCCTGCAAGAAACCCAAATCTTCCTCCACTCTGTTTTTGTCCAAGCAACCTTGTGAGCTGAGAGTTAGCAACTGGCCCAAAGTAAGCTTCATGGCCAAGTGGGGCCAGAACTCAAGTTTCCTGAGCCTCTACAAAAGACTCCCACCCAATGCTGCACTGGCTCTTCCCCTACTTCTGTTTTATCCTCACAACAACCCTGTGAGGTAGGATAGGCTCAGAGTCAGTGCCTGGCCCAAATTCATTCAGCAAGCTTCATGGGGCGAGTGGAGGGGAGAACCTGAGTCTCCCAAGTCATAGCCTAACCACTACACTGGCAGAAGGGGTGTGCGTGCGTGTGTGTGTGCATTCGTGTGTGTACGTCTGTGTGTTTTTGCCACTTAAAGGCTCGGCAAAGCCATTGGTCTTGTGCTGTATCCCGAACTGTTGAAAATGCTTCAGCAGGCCCCCCTGCGAACAAGAGCAGGGGTCAGACATTTTGCAGAACAATATAATAATTAAATACCTCCTGTCAGAAGGGCCATATCACATGCGAGTCCCGTATAACATCTGTGTATTGTTAGCAATGCTTGGTTAGCCAAGCATCGGCAGTAGCTATTTATAGCTGCTCTCTCTACGCCAAAGCTGCCCTGGCATCCACGATAAAGAAGTATTTTTGTTGCTCTTTGCTGGCTAAAACTTGAAAGTAGAGGCTTAAATCTTTATCATAATAACCACTCTGGTTTCCATGTGTCATACTTCCTCTAATGGGTCGAAGACACATTTCTGAAAAGATTCTGAAGCCATTTAAACAAGGCCTGCTCTGTTTTTGTTTCTTGAGTTCCAAGAGGACGACCCCACCTGGTTAACCGTACCTGCCATGCATAAAAGTTACAGGTGGGGATGTGCGAGGAATCTCCTTAGGGGGTGTCAAAACCAGGCAGATGGACCTGGCTCAGTCCCCCAGATTCTGACCTATCTCGCCTTTGCTGGTTGCTGACCTTTTCCAATGCAAGGTAATTTTAAAGCTTTTAAAAGGGGCCGCAGCTCACACCTTTGTTTCAAAAGCCTGGGATAGTCACACAAAACACATCTGTGCATTGCACGAAGTACATCCTCTGTTCGCAGTTTCTTTAAGGCCTGCTTTTAAAAAGTTCAGCGACACACACATTGCGACCCAACTCACCGTGACTTGGGCGCACGTCCAGCTCTCATGACCGCAGAGCAGACAGGACTCCACCGAGTGCAAAAGGACAGAGCTTCACTCATTCCAAATATCCCCTCAACACCCTTCACGACTGCAGACATTGTCAGTTGCATGCCGACCTATGAAGCTGCTTTATGAAGTCCGACAATTGCCCAAGGTTAGTAAAAGTGAAAGAGCCACACCGGATCAGACCAAAGGGACGTCTCTGCCTCCAGCGTTCCATTCCCAGAGCACCCGACACAAACCTCTGGGGAAGGCCATAGGCAGCAACCACAGACATGCTCCCCAGCAAGCGTGAGGAACCATCAGGACTAGTAACCTTATCCTCTACGAATTTACCATGCAAGTCATCTAAGCTGGTGGATATCACACCATCTTTTGCAAGTGATCTCACAGTTTGATGACATGAAGAGTAGTTTCTCCAGTTTCCCCAGATCTGCCACAGTTCAGCTTCGTTTAATGATCCCTTGTTCCAGGACTGCAAGGAAGACAAACCGCCCTCTATTCTCTTTCTCCACTCCATGCTTCATTTCATACGCCTCCTGACCAGGCTGCTGCCTAGCTCACCACCAAACAGCACCATCGGTGCTTCCTTTCTCCCAGGAAGACAAATTGCAGCTGCACCAGCAAGCACAGGCCTCCGCATGCCCTGCGTCCCATTTATCAGCTCCCAGGTGGAGCTCGGCGAGTGGGAACCTGCACTTCGCAGCACCTGCCACCGCGTTACGGAACAAGAACTGCCAGGAGGAGCAATCAAGAGATCTTGTTGTTCGCTACCTGGGGCTTGTGAGCTGCACACTTGAGAAAAATAAATAGGCAACCCGTGTCTTGTCTTACCTACCGGGGGAAGTGTCTGATTTATTTATTAGGCGTATATTCTGCTTTTTTGCAATCAGCTCGAAGTGGGTTCAACCGATCTCCTCCTGCTGTTCTCAATCTTATCCCCACAGCAACAACCTTTTGAGGCAGGCTGGGTCGAGAGTCTGTGATTAGCCTAAAGTCACCCAGTTGGTGGAGTGGGGACTAGAACCCAAACTGCCTGAGTCCTGGTGCCACAGTCTTAACCACTATACCACGCTGTCTCTCAGTACTCTCGTAGACTCTTACTAATAATTAAATTGACTGAAACTGCAGTCTGGTCTGGTCAAGTCCTTCTATTGTTTCAAAAAGCCTTCTCCCAAGCAGGTGCCCTCCAATTCTGTTAGGTTACAGATCTCATCATCCACAGTCAGCCCTGCCAATGGGAGTTGTAGTCTAACATATCTGGAGAAGACTGGCTTTAAAAACACTGCATAATCTGTTTCCTTAGCATTTCTGAGCTGGTTTTTAAGGTTTTTTTTTTTTCCTTTCTCGCATGCTGTACGTTCATTTTTCTCTGTTTAATTGCTCTTTCCCCCCCATTTCCTTAGGCTATGAGCCAACAAGCAGGGTGATTTTGCGGAAAGAGCTCAGTGCTTTGCACACAAGGGGTCCTGATTCAATGCTTTCCTACATAAGGCCTGTACAGCTGCACGTTTCCAGTCAGAGTAGACCAGGTGCAGGCGGAAATGAGGTCTCGAAGGCCCGCTGACTCTCTGGGTGACCTTGCAACAGATCATTGCGAATTACTGGCGTCCAACTGCACAAGCCACAAAAAGATTCCGCCACCCAATCACCTGAGTCACACTCCAGAAACTAAGACATGAGGGCTACCTGGGAATATTTCGTGTAAAAGGGCTTTGAGTCTAAACATACTTCTTCTGTACCAGATTCCAGTGGGTAGATCTGGGAGTTCTGGGGGAAACCAAAGTCGATTCAGACCAGAAAAAAGGAACGTGGACATCACGATCCCCGGTTATCATCCTAGTTACACGAGTTAGATGAGCAAAGCGAACCGATGGCAACAGTCAGGCTGAAAGCCGTTTTGGGGCCCTGGCACACATGAATTCATTCGAGGGACAAAACAAATAAAAAGTATTACCTCTGGTGAACCAATTTCCTAGGGATGAAGCTGAATGCAAGCCTCTGTACTTCACAGAACTCTTTCGGCTTCAAGCAGCCAGCGGGAAGGGAGGGGAGCACAAAGCTAAAACTGGAGTTCTTTAAAAACACACGCCTTTAGAAAAAGCCAGTGACCATGGATGCCAAGCACAGGCCTGCTC